ATACATATATATATATATATATATATATATATATATATATATTATAATTGTGTCATATAGTTATAATACAAAAAAATATTTCATAGAAAAAAAACTTTCAAAGTAAGAGAAAAAGAAAAATTATTTTAATAACAATGAATGAATTAATGAGAAAATATCACCATTTTTCTTTGTAATCAATTAATATATAAGCGTGATTAAAAAATTCTTATTGATTTATTCATTAACATTTTTCATTCTCGCTGTTATTTCTTTGTGCCAATAAATGATGCGAAATAAATCGCAATTAATAGTAACCTCTGTCATGTAACATACGCTTGGACAGTATTTCTTTATAACTTTAAGCAAGAGAAACCGTCGTCACGAGAGCAATCGAGATACCTTAGTATATACTCAATATTGTTACGAGGCCATTACACGGTTGGGGAATAACCGAGGGGGGCCCCGAATGAGACGCGTGTGCACGCGTGCAGCCTCTAATGGCAGATGGTACCGGGGGCCCACGTCTGTGGCGCAGCTGCAGACGAGAAGGGCAGCACGAGCGGGAGAGGACGAGGGGGAGAAGACCCGCGGAATCGCGAGGACCACCCCGTGACCCTCGTAACTGACGGCCAGGCTCTCTCTCTCCTTCCTTCCCCCGTGCGCGTGCTACTTCCCATAGCTACCGGAATGCTAACCTGTTAGTGTGCGGCTGGGCCCGTGCCAACTTCGGGCAATTATCGTGTGGTAAAAAAAAAAAAAGAAAAAGCTAGCCCCGAAAAATCGAAAACTGATCACGACGGAAGCGACGCGTGCTTGTCGCAGACAACGGATGAAAAGCTCGCTCGCACGGATTGCGAATAATGGATACGTTAAGCACGCGAAACGGGGCTGTCGTCCTGTACACGTTCGCCTCGCTCGTAAATGGGAAATGCGCGCTCTGTCGTTTAAATTGATTAGTATCGGTAGTGCCATATAATAAGATTAAAACAGAGAGCAACGAGAGGCGCGCGCTCGGGACCAACTGTATATATCAAGATTTTCGGAAAATTGACCCATTTCCATCCATTTGGAGGAACACTAGGAAAGCACGGAGCGCACATTCGAAATGCACTTGAATTCGATTTGAAGTTCGATATTGAACTGCACTTTGGTTCGAAGCTCTCATTTAAATGTAAAATGATTAAATTTGAGTAGTTACAGAGAGTCACAAGAACATAAAAAAAAAAATTACACGATGATTTCACGTCTAATAATTTATAAAATATTTTTAAAAGAGAGAGAGAGAGAGAGAGAGAGAGAGAGAGAGAAGAGAGAGAGAGAGAGAGAGAGAGAGAGAGAGAGAGAGAGAGAGAGAGAGAGAGAGAGAAAGAGGGGAGAGGGGATTCCACTCGATAAAACGAGGCTGTATTATTGTCAGAACCAGTTGCAATTGCAGTTTCATACTTAGGTATCATTTCGGCTATAGGCTCACCCTATCGGCGGATTCTCAATACGAAACGGCAGCTGCCGCTATGCTCTCGTCACAGCGGGGGGAGCAGCTGTCCTCTTTCCCTCGCCGCTCTCGAACCGGGATCCCGATTCTGGTTTTGCTTGCCGTATCTACAGCGCCATATGCGCGAATGGATTCGTCACTCGTCGAGTGGCCCGCGCAGCTTCCAGAAAGTATGTTTGCTTAAATGAGATAAGTACGCGAGATAAGTACTCACGGTTATACATTCGATGTACCAAATCCGACGAACAAGTCGAATTGAATGGCTGCCGACGTCTCTTTCATTAGAATATAAATCCCATCTTTCAAAGCGATCGAAACAAACGTATACCTACGATTTTCATTTTGTCATGTGGATTAAAAAACTTTAAATTTAAATTATAAAATAATTAAATGATTTATTAAATAATTTAAATTTAGTTTAAATTTAGTTTAAATTTAAATCAATTAAGTTGAAATTTGAAGTTATTATTATTTAATAGAAATAATTTGTGAAAATGTACACACAGGTTTCAAAAATATATCGAAGAGGTAGATTATGAGAAGGAACATTATTGAGAATTTCAACACACGTATTGACAATATTACGAGTGGATACTTTTATAACGAGCTTTTCCTTGTTCTTTTTCTTGTTGTTTCGACGATGACTGATACGATTGACATAAACCGCAATAAGCGCGGATTTATCGAATTGGTATATCGACGATACGCGAACGCAACAGTGTCCGAATACAAAAAAAAGAAGAGAAGAAAAGAAGAAAAGGACCTAACCGAGCGCGAAGAAGGTACGATAGAGAGAACGATGAAAATTGCAGACAGACATGAAAACGATAGACATGAAATCTTTTATTTCATGATATAATTCACTACTCACTTATCTCCGCGTATCGACATCGTGGAAATCGGCGCGATAATGCAAAAGATAAACTTAGAGGAAGAAACTTTTTTATCTCGACGATTCATCGATATCTGTAAATCCGCGTATAAATACTAGGTATTCTATAGGTATTCTATAGGGGTGTATCGCAATCAAACTTGTAGCAATCGAGCTCGAAGTACGACAGTTGCGACAAATGGCGTTTAATCGAGTTCTCGAGTCGAAAAGAACTCGTTAGCAAATTTCCGAGGAATACACCATACCCGGAGTTGAAATATCGCTAAGCATCATCCCGTTCTCATCATTGAAAATTCTCTCCGGTCAAACCGGATTCGTCCCTCCCCTCGCCTCCTAATAAATGCTCCCCTTTCGCGCATCACGCCGATTATGGCGTAACGCGCATACTACGCGAGGATGATCGCGCGCGCGTGTCGATCGACTCGCGTCGACGACTCGGTGATGAGAGGGGTGGCTCACCCTCGACCTAGACAGCATTGTTCGCCTGATTCTGGTCTCGCTGCCAGCTGTTGCCATTTTTTTTATTTGGCAGCTCTCCTTGCTCGCCCCCTCCGGGCTCTTTTGTCGATCGCCATCCTCGTTTCGTGCCAGTCGATCCGAGCTGAAATTAATCAAAAGGGGACGATCGGCCGCACGTGGGCAAAGTCTCTTCCTTCTCCTGCCTACTCTCTGCGCAAACGCGCGCTTTTCCTCGATCAAAATATTAAATAGCGCAACCCCCCTTGACAATTCCGCTCGGAGCTCTGGAACAATAAAGAGGGACAAGGAGGGAAGAAGAAGGGGGAGAAGAAGGTGGAGACGGAAGAGCGAACGGCCACGTGCCAACCATGGGAATATAATGCCGCAACGGCCACGTGCCCAGCACCTATCGGGTGTACCAGTAGAAAACGACCACTGGTTGCGTCGCGGCAGCTTACGCTTCTAATTCTATCTTCCTAGCGCAGTCGGTGATATTTATTTGCATCTGGGATTTATTTCAAGCGCGGATCTCAGCCGAGGAGCGTGAAAATTGAATCGCCACCGATGAGAAAACAAGGAGCCACTTTATGTGTAACTTACCCTCGCGATTAAATAAATGCGTATGGCAATTGACTTGAGCAGCTCTCCGCGAAAAAGATTTATTAATATGACATAGTCTTATTAATGTGACAAAAAAATTACCTCTTTTTAGCAAATATGAGCTTTTATTAGATAAAGGCATATGTAATAGGAATATTATACGTGAAAAGCAATTTTATTAAAAAGAAAAATCTCTAAAAATAAAATTTTTATCCAGCACCATATATAATAAATTTGTAGTCAAAAATTCATCAAGATTTTATCTTTCGTAACTGAAAATTTGTAAATTCTAAAATTTTTGCTGACATCGATGGTAAAATTAAGCTATTTTGTATTCCGCTTTTCTTCAGATATCTCAATTTATCAATACATGAATCAAATTTATCAATACACGTCATAACAACGCAAGTTACGTATCCTCTTAAAAAATATTTGTATTTTAATGCAGCATGTTACTTCTAAAAAAAACAAAAACAAAATAAATGAGAGTTCATGTGAAGTTAATATCTGCAACTTTCCATTGAAAATTGGAGAACGTAAAATTTTATTTGCAATGGGAAATGGCCCGTTGTGAAGGTCTAACGAAAGCACGATATTTTCTGAGTCACGCTTTTACGTACCGCTGAATCATTCGATGCCCGTAACATCGCGCGTCGTCAGCGCAAAGAATAAAACCGGAGAAGCCGAGTGACATGACGAATCGTGATTGGGCTATAATACGCCGTAATTACGATTCGGAATTACAAGAGGGAGTGTAAACCACTGGTGATGCCAGTCGTCATAGTCGCATGGTCCGTTATGCCCTTTTCTTCCGCATTAACTTAAGCGTCGATAAATTAACTTTCTCTGCATACTAATAGAACTTAAGCGAGGGATAAGATAAGAACTCGCGACTCTCCGCCGCCAACTTTGTAAAATTTTAATCTAACTTCAGCTTGGGTAAACCCCCATAAATCGACGCGATATGTTCCAAAACGCTATTTGCAATTTGCCACAATTTACTTGTTAATGTATTGTTCCAAAAGTACATATAAATAAATAAAGGGACAAAGAATATATTGGACAGAATGTTCTAATCGTACGTATTTGTTTCTTATTAATATGACATAAAATGTGTGCAATACTGAAACATTCTCAGGCAGAGAATTAATTTTTCTCGCAATCAAACCATTCGTTATTTGACAATTCCTACGGTTCTAAGTGAAGTGACGCCTTGTCGCAATATCGCTGTACGCGCGATTGATAAGGTCTAACATTGAACCAAGACTTCGTACTCCCTGTACGGTATTTCCTTTCCGTCGAATGGGATATAGAGAACACCGTGACTTCTATGGACCTGCCAAACAATAGGCAATAGTATATGTGTACACGTTCCTGATCGTTCAGATAGAGTCTCGAGCCGGAGTCAACGGGCAATTGAGCGGATCAGAAAAGCCGCTCTCAAATTTCTATGTAACGTACCTTTCCCACACAGGCGACGCCGTTGTGAAAAGTACGGCCGACGTAGAGCATTTCCCCGTTCATGGTCCTGCCAGCCTCCACTGCGTGTTCCGGTACATGGCCGTGACCCGTTCGGATCCAATTGAAATGGGCGGGCATCAGTACCTAAGGTACAAAAGCCAACGTGTTGTTTCGAATTACATCCGTTTGGATCTCACGGAGGAGAGGGATTTCTCTCTCTTTCTCTCTCGAAACCGGCGGAACGGCGTATTTCACACTTCCCTTCCGACTCTCTCCCTCTTTCGACGCAAATAGATTAAACCGCGGACGATCGTGCGGCTGTATAAGCCGAGCTGAGAAGAAATTGATTTGGACGAATGCGATCGAGTGCACGCCGCACGGCAAACAGAGGGTTCGTGTGGTTCTAATGCGCGATCGAAGGGACGTACCTCGAAACGTCGAGTCCCCGCTACCGAACCGATCAATACCGAACGGATGGGTCTCGTCGTGCTCTCGCTTCTCTAATTTTTAGGAAATTACCCTTTAATGGAGTAAAGACGTAGGCTTAAACGAGCGAAAAAGAGCGTTGACGTTTAAAGCAAAAAGGTTTTTCAATTCATTTAAAAATTTGAATACAAGCGTTTCGACTTGACTGAATCTTCATTATTTAAAATAATAAGTTGTAAAAGTTCAGTTGTAAAAGGCATTAAGTTATAACAACATTATAGAAAATAATATGATAATTACATGAAAGTAATATAGATAAGCATCGGAGAGCTATAATCGATCAGTATAAATAATGTTCGAATGTAAGCCGATAAGAAGCTGTAGTGATATATAAATTAAAGTCAGTAGTTAAATTAAAGTCAGCAGTTAGCACATGGTTAAAATAAATAAAGGAATAATAAAAAATCAAATAAATAAAAAGAAAAGGAATAAATAAGAAATGAATAAAAAATGAAGGCTCGATAAAAACGAATTCCAATTTTTAAATAGATTAAAAACTTTTTTCACTTTAAACACCACTTTTTTGCTCGTTTTTTAGGCCTTTCTTTTCTATTCCATTACATTGCTGTAGCAACACACGAGCTTGTTCAATTTTTAATTTTTTAATTTTTAATTGCCTTTTACATTTTTACGATTTTAATGTATGTCCTACGATCTTGGCTGTAGCGAATCGATGGGATTGTAAATTGAGTTACACGTCCGATCGCACACCAGGTGTTTCGAATTTGCCATGATTTTGTCAGGGAAGTAAAGGATAGCTCGAAAATGAAGGGAAACATAGGTAAGAATTTATCAGCGTGATAAAGCGCGCTCGATCGTTTCTGCGATACCGCCGTGCAAATATGGAGCGAGTAACACACCTCGTTCGATCGCGCACAGTCGTAATCTTATCTTCGCCGTCGAAAACAAGATGCATCAAGCGTATAAAGATAGATGCAACGCGTTTGCACGTTACATAAGGATAGATTTTACGCGAACTCTTTCGTTTATTAAAGAAAGGGGGAACAATAACGTGTTATGAAACCCGTTGCCCGGTAATCATCCGCTATGAAAGTATAAAAAAATACAGTGGGCGTAATTACGTAATTAGAAATTGATTAAAGTTACGAGACCGTAAAGATAGCTAAATGAAAATAATTGAGACGCGTGATTGATGGCGGCACGTAATTGGGATCTCATAATTAGGAAGGGAAACAGAATTTCGCTCGGAATCTCGACTCGATGAATGCGAATTTTAGGAGAATCGAATCTGCCGTTTCTCTCTCGCAACAAAATATATACCTCGAAGTCATGCTTTATGTGCTCGACACCGGCATGGGAGATGTAGGCGACGCCATGGTCTGGCTTCACTTTCGCCGGTATCATGTCACCCTGATGCATGGCACGACCTACGACAAGATTCATGCCGTCTAGATCCCTGCCGATGGAAATCAGCATGCTACGATCGGCGTAGGACGTCGGCCATCTGACCCATCTGTATCCTACGACAGAAATTATCAAATATTCCCGAAACTTCGACGAGATCGTTGGTCGTAACGTTGATACTTTGAAACTTTAATCGGTTCACTTATCACATTGTTTCTTATCATATCGATTACATCTCGTAAGTACGCAAGTGAGTAATCGTTGCCGCGGTTATTAAGCAAGCTATTATTGCCTATCGTAAGAGAACAGTTTAGGATAACGAAAGATAACTCAATGTCATATCTTGACATACCATGTTTATCGAAAAAACCTTGTTGAAATATCGTATCCTGTCTCATATTTTTCTGATGTAAGAACAAGAAACGAAATAAAAAAAGAATGTGACTGTAAAATTATTACAATTATAAAACCGTGACAACAGATCTCTAAATATATTAAAAACTTTTCAAATCTGATAAAACAGTAATATAATACAGACGATAAAAACATTTAATTAAAAACCTATCAGCAATTTGTGAAAATAATTATCAATAAATTTATTATTTCAAAAAAATAATACATCATGACTAACGGATTATTCCTTTTTTTATGTTTAAATCTTGTTTTAAGATCAAAATAAAACTCTGTATTTTGCTTCGTAATTTAATCGTTACTTTCACCCATTTATTTCTGAATTTTACGCTATTCAGCGTTGCTACTTACCAGGCATTATTGTTTCTCGATCGACGTCCGCTATCGCACTAACACGCTACGACGAATAATTAAATAATTAAGCACAAATGACAGTTTGCGTGGCAACACGTTTAAGCGAGAATTATTACTGGACGTGCCGATACTTTGGGCGTAAATGAGCTCGAGCCGCTCGATTCCCACCATTCGAGATCTTATCAATCTTATCAGCACGGAAACGTTATACAAAGCATGTGGCACACAAAATGCCACGTTCGTGGCACATGGCTCGCATGGCTTTGCTATTCATATCACGTGACGTGATCCTATCCCTATAATAATGTCATTGCTACGATTTTTGCTGTAACTTTGCAGTTGTGTCGCGAAAAGTGATATAAACGGATCAAGTAACGCGAATTTCGCGACACGTAATAACATTAATCATAGCTATGCGTGCGAGATAAGACGTAATTCGTAATAAGCGATTCGATATAGAATCGTATGTGTCATCGCGAACAAATAAAGTAGTCGAAAGGTGAGATATGTATTTAAATATACACCGTGCATAACGTAAACCAGATCGCTATCAAAATTCTAACAAATAAAACGACAAGTAGATTTTCAGAGTGGCGAACCGTTTGTGAATAATACGAGCTTAGTGATTGCATTTTTTCTAACAAAAATCGCTAATGGAAAAGCTCGTGAAACGAAACTAATCTCACGATTTGTGTAAATATGCTTAAAAAAAAAACAAAAAAAAAGGAGGAAGAACAAAGCTCGGATCGGGCAAAATCTCGAATCCCGCTGTATTCCCATCGCTGTAAAAGTCGTCATCGTGCCACTGCCAGGAATGTACGATAACGGCAGAGAAACGAATTTTCTCGTTCGCGCCCAGCAGGAAATGAGCGATTTGTTCACGCTCGTTTGTTCGAGCGAAGAGAAGAGCCCATCTCTTACGTATCGCCGTGTCATACAGAAATATGCGTTATGTGATTCGCGCTTCGGGCGACCGCGCGCAGTCGGGTGTTCACTCATTATCGTTAGGTAAAATCGTACTTCGAAGTGTCTGTTACGTAACGAGAGAAAACACAGGCGTAGTCCGGCTAGAAACAGAGAGAAGTGCCCGGAGATGCCCTGAAAATCACGCTGTGACGTAAGAATGGTTCTTCAGTCGACGTCATTGATCGTCGTAAAATCTATTCAAGCTGCATTTAACCGTATTTAATTTAATATAAATTTACATTACGTTAATTCGTATTCGAATTTATTAAATTGAAGTACAAAAATCAGCGAGAGTAAATTTTAATTGGTGGTTCGTACTGAGAGTCTCGAATTTAATTAAAAAAACGCATATATATATCTCTCTCATATATTTTCTTCCTCTTTGAAACTAAATCGCGTGCTGTATATAAATATAATTCCACGAAGGCATTATAAAAAAATCCGTAATAACAATTTGCCTCGGAGTAACAAAGGCGGGAGATTTATTTCACCTGGAATAGGGAAAAACGTTCGTTCGTGCGCCGTTTTCCTTAAAGTCGCGCTAATAAAATTAGCGTAAAAGTTCTTTTGCGTCGGAATCGCCTGGCCTCTTCTAATCGCTGATCCGTAGTTAATTGTGCCGCAGATAATGCGTTTAGAGAAGAGGTCTGTTCGTTTAATGAGACGTATAACGGGCGCGTGTCGCTTCGAGCGTAAAAAGGAGGCGAGCGTCCAGCGATTAGTCTCGTTTGAAAATTCCGCCTGATGCCTCTCGTGAAAATTCCGCGCGAATTCAATTCGCGTAATTTGCGCCCTCGATCGATCGTGTTGGACGACGCGGCGGACGTTGCCGGAAACTCGAGACATTTAATCGAACGAGATGAGATAGGAGTGTTCTTCGTCATTCTCTTCTATGCAAGAAACGTTATATAGAAGGGTGATTTAAGCTCATCGAGGGTGCTTTAATGGATCTGCTAAGGCGAATGCTATCTCCTGGATATACTCCCTCGTGCCTTTGTGAATAACGCTTTTGCCCACGCTGCGATCGTCCCTTTTCTTTCTTTTCTTTTTCCGATATATATATATATATATATACACACTGTGTAACCAAAGACTGACATAAAATATCGGAATCACGACGCTATTTGCCCAATGCTATTGACACGACAGGAAAGATATTGCGGCATTCATTCGAGTTATTTGAAAATCCTCAATGTCGATGCATAAAGACAGTTTTCTTAATAAAATATGTATGTATATATCACGTAAAAACGAATAAAAATAGGAATATTTTATTATTTTATCAGTGCTTATGAAAGAAGAACAATCTTTCATAAGCATCGATAAGATTGCAAATAAAACTAAATCCTACACAAACACGTGACAACGTTACGAACGTTACGATACAAATCTCTAAAGTTGTAAAAAATTCGCCCCGCAAAAACTTTCAGAATATAAGTAGGAATTATTCCGATATTTGCAATATTCGCTTCAGTATCGCTAGCTCTGTCGATTCGAAGAGAAATCACCGCTTTTATGCGCAAGGAAACATTTTCGCGTTACGAGCACCTGCGTTGATTTGCACGACGTTGAAACTGGATTAACCTCACTTAACATTTAACAAGCGCGCTTTCCTTTTTAACGAATGTTAAATTGCAGGATTTAAGCAGAAGTGCCGCCGGCATTTTATGCGGACACGCGGACACGCCGGGGTAGATTTCGCGACGGCAGACATGGAACAAGGGAAACGCTCGAGCCGCTGAACCGAACAAAACAAACTCTGGCCCGCGCTTTAAGCTGACAAAACAATTCCGCCGACGGAGTGGCGGCTGGCAAATACATTGCTGGTAGTCAATGTTCCAAAAGGATCCATTTGTCTCGTTCGACAAAACGTCGCTCGATATCCGCGCTTATTCCATATCGCGCTCACGTTTGCATTCGATATGCATCCCGACGAGTAATCGCAACGCGCGATACTTGATGCTCCAATTTGTTTGAGTTTAAATATTAATATTTAATATTTAATATTAGACATAATGGAAACATCTATGCGGATGATAGAACAGTCCTTGATCTCTCGGATGCATATTAAATTTTCTTACATTCTTTAAAATCTTTAGTCTTTTTTTCTTTCAACGGTATTTGCAATCTTTATAAATGTTTTTAGCAAGCTTGATGTAATGTTATTTGTATGCGGAATTTTGATAATTAAATTTTGAAATGATCAAAATCTCAAAAAAAAGTGATACCACAAAAAAATCTTGATTTCAAATAAATGTAAGGAGTAATTTCTTGTTGTGTACAATTCGGGAATAAACTATTGTTAGATTTCTTTGGCGATGACAGACAAAGAGGATAAAATAAAGTGCATATCTCTTTCTATGCTTGGTAATTTCTTTATTCGTACCACCGATAGAGATCCTCTTTAATGAAGGCTCTTTAATATGCGAACAGAAATATAGCTGTATACTTTAAATTAAATGGAAAAGTTCGTTGAAATTCATTAGCATATAACTAGAAACTGCTCCAGACGGAAAGGATGAAGTCGAAACTATGATAATGCCACTCAATATATTATGTTTAAATTAGAGATCTGTTTATATATCGCTTAAATGAGTTTTCTATCTGCTTCGATTATACGTCGTATAGAATACGAAATGAATGTATATATCGCTTTGAGAAAATACAATCTTACCTAAATCTTATTTAATCTTAATTAATCTTAAATGTTTAATCTTAATTTGTTATTTTTATTTAGGCAACTAATTTTGCTTAATTCCAATTTATGCCGATTTTAGCAAAATATCTTTCTAATCTTTAAATAATCTCTAAAACAGTATTTTCAACAGCTTTTGTTATCGCTTACATTTGTTAAATCACTATTAAGAATTCTAGAGTTAGCCAGTAATTTCTTGTTGAATGTTATTTTAGCGGAGAAAGGCTAACAAAGACCAGCAAGGCTCGAGTTGTTGGCCGAGCTAACTGAGATGGCACAATAGCCGACAATTCCAGAATAACGTTGGATTATCCGCCACAGTTAAAGCCAAAAGAATCACTAATAAATGCCAGTTAAAAGTCCTCATCGTGCAATGTTTTAACTAATTTCAGAAATAAAAAGGAGACGTCTCAAGGAAGACGTTGACATCACTTTGCGTCTCTTTCGCCCGGCGAATACGCAACGACGCGAGAAAGACGCGAATCCCGGCGAATTCTGTCGGCAGGAAAACAAAGAAACGCCGCAAAGGTTCCGCAGCAGCATCGCGTTTCCTTTGTTCAAGCAATCCCGCCACGCGACGCGTCGCACAACGCCGAAGTCTCCGGCGTTGGCTGTGGAGGGAGAGCTCGAAGCCGGCACCGCGATGGATCGATACAGCACCAAGGGATAGTGTTATGGGGGTGGCTGGTTCGTAATACACGGGGGCTTGCCGCTATTCCGTGATGGCTAAAGCAGAGAGAGAGAGAGAGAGAGAGAGAGAGAGAGAGAGAGAGAGAAGGAGAGAGAGAGTAGAGAGAGAGAGAGAGAGAGAGAAAGGGAGAGAGAGGAAGTTGGAAAAAGAGAGAAAATGTGCGCACCCTCCGCTCTAACCTGGCAGAGCTAGCGCTAGCAGCACCCCATTCGTCAATCCTCGTCCCTCGTCGCTGAAGGCTCTTTCTCTTTGTTCGAGTTCGTTAAACTTCCAGTCGGTCGACGCGACCCCCACAGCCTCCGCGCCCCTGGACCTATATCCCTTCTTAACTGTTTCCCCCGTTTCCGCGATCCCCGCGCGATTCTCGCACCGGTTCTTAATTACGACGGGTTCGCGTCTCATTTCCTTGCGCTTAAGTGAGGCTCACCTTGAGATTCGCGGCACGAGCTCGGAATATCCCAGCGCACACGTCCCGACTTCCAATCGTTTGCCAACACATTGTAGCTACACCGTACGATACGCTATTGTTCCAAATAACGCTGTCACTATTCTCTGGTTTCCTTTTTTTTTAGATCACATCACATTTTCATCGACATTTGGACCTTGTTAGTATTTTAGAAATAACAAACACTATAAGTTTATTCTCGAGTAGGAATAATTAACTGGAAATGAATATCTATTTAAAAGATGAATGTATAGTTAGATTGACTTTTAAATGCCCAAGAAATCTCTTTCCTTGTCGCATGGTCTGACTAGATTGCGGAACTTACTACTTGCGCCCGCATCGACCGCATAAATGCTCTAAAGAGAAAGTTGCACGTTCGCATTAGTGTGCTTTGCTGCGTTTCTGTTTTGTCATTTTTTTGTTGATTTCTTGAAGACAACGGTTTCTTCAAACATTCAAATGCGCAATTTCAAAAAATTTAGTTTTATTATATATTTCAAAAATTTAATCTAAATTAGTAGTTTCATTATATATTTCAAAAATCTAATCT